CTGAAATTTCGCGCGCTCAGGAACGGCAAAATGACAAGTGATATAAGTGCTCCTATGAATATCGTTCTTCTTATATCACTTGTCATTTCGCCGTTCCTGAGCGCGCGAAATTTCAGCCCTATCATTTGTGGAAAATAATCGCTTCTAATTTAAAAACTATTATAGCCTCGACACTTTTGTATTAGGATTTTCGTCTGGAAATGTTCTAAGGAATCTGTCATTAAGAGGACCTCCGGTGGTTTTAGGACACCCTGTATACATTGGATGTGGTGATGCGACAATACGCGATGCTGTGATCAGCCATTGATGCTTTGATCCGAACCGGAAGCTCTATTAAGAGATCTTTTATTTAACAGACTGAAACTACTGAATTAATAGTACTTGAATTAATAGTACAAAATTCTTATACACTTCGAATTGATTTAAATCGTTCAGATCAATGGGCTATAGTTGTGTAAGTTCTATTTCGAGAAACATTGGTTTCAATGTGAATAACAAGTTACTATCAGCTAAATGTCGTGAGTGTAGGCTCTTGTCGAGTCAAACGATTCGTAGAGAAGAGATTCACATATTGATACACTGTTTTACATGTATTTTTTTAGTTTCGCCTTTCTTGTATTGCAAATACATCGCGGTTCGACTCCCATACGACTGTCTCCGATAAGACGAAGCGCAAACGAGACACCCATTCCCCTAACGTCGATCTCATAACAGCAGGCCGAATTGTCTTAGCGTGGCCTAAGTGTTTAGTAACTTAGTCTTAAGAATTAGAAGGGGGGGATAGTTTTCGGGAAATGTCTGTTTGAAAAAATTCGCAATTACGCACGTTAACGAGAATACGTCCAGATAATCGGTCTTTACAGCGATGCGCTAAACACAGAGTTCAGTAAGCTGTTCGTTAATGTAATCGAGTGTCGATTCCCCCGCGATGGCTCGCGGCTTAAACGGCTGCTTCGAGATACCGGTCAAATAATTGTAACGGCGGAACCTACGGAACTTTTGTCTACGTACCTTCGTTGTTTAAGGGCCGGTTTCGCTATCACCGATCAAGTTAATCGGTCGATTAAGCGTCAATCGTGATTAGTTAATTTTGGTTACGATAAATTGGTCAATGCCAGTCCAACACTGAAATTTAAATCGGCTGATTCTATTAATCGGAGATGGCGGAACCGGCCCTAACTCGTCGAGGCATCCGAGGGATTTATTCTTTACGTGTACTCTTAGTATCTGCAGTAGATTCTTGCATTTGAGTGGCCTTTATTTACAAGACAAGATAATAGTTTCGTAAATGTAAGACTACCAGAGTTGCGTGCGATTCAGGAAACTGGGCGATAAAACGTTCTTCAAGTACCAACGATAGCGACGGAGATGTGAGAGAAAGGAGCCAAGGGAGAGGACTTCTCTCGACACTGTCGAAGCGTACGACACCCATCGTGAGATCGCATTCTTTGAACGAATACAGAAAGACTAGAGGAACCTCGGGTTTTTTTTTGTACACAATACCAAGCACGCGAGATGCATTTGCGCGAGGACAGTGCCACGCTGATATCCAGTGCCATACGACGTCGATAACGCGACGAGCTATACCCCCGTGTGAACGGACGGCGAGCGTTTCCCGACGATGACCGTACATGTTGCAACGTAATGTTGCGAGAAAGAGAGAGAAAGAAAGAGAGAGAGAGCGTTTCTCCCCGCGGTATAAGCAAACAAATGATCTATTTTACATATTGTATAATCACCGAGGCTAAAGGAGTTCAGGCGTTTTGCAGCGCTGTGGAACCGCGTGTTCGGCCCTGTTTGCCAAAGCGGTGAATGAATATGAATTTATTAGCGGAGTCCGCACGCGCGTGTGCGTGTGCCTGGCGTCCGGGGTTTTTATTTTTCACCATATATGCGCTCGTAGGGCAAATCGATTGCAATTCTGCGTGACCAAGGGAAATCCGCGGGATCTCCGTCGAGGCGTCTTGTTGGGCAATCGCGTAGCATCGTCGAGAAGATATTACGTGAGAGAAAGATAGAGAGACAGAGATATCTTGGTAATATTTTTAAAATATACTCGCGTAACTATCGCTACACGTCTGCTGAGTATACATATATTTTCACTACAAGACCCAAGATATTCTCAGAGCGCAGCTTGAATTTCCTCCTCGTGATTGCCATGTATATTTTATTGAGATATCTTCCCATACAGGCGAGAGGAAAAGGGCGTTTCAGTAAAATTCGTCACGTTCGGTGATATTTTAGGAAAATTGACTTGTAAATACATTCAGGAAGACTTTAACGCATCCCGCAGACTTTCATTGTCGCGCAGAACAATATCGGCGTACGTCGAGACCACGGCGGCCGACGTTTCTCTGCTTGCTTGAGAAAATAGGAGAGCGCCGCCGGTCGTTCTAGTTTCGCCATTTTTATATATTTTGATACAATGCAAGAGGCAAAGTTCGATCATCACCGTTCTGTCAAACAATCCGCCGCGGAAGAGCTGCGCAAGTTAGGGGCGGAACAAGATGTATTGTACATTTAAGAACAGTAGCTCATCGTGCGTTTAGCGCTACGTTTTCCCTCGTTTCGCTTCTCGGCTGTCTTTTCTTTAAATAAAATTGAGATCAAATTCCGTTGCGCCAGTGATCTCGGCACCGCTCGCGTCAAAGAGCTCGTCGTACATTTTTCTCTTAGCGTTTCCACAATACACGGAAGCGAAGAGTAAAACTCGGCGCGACAAGCACAATTGATCCTTAACGCTAAACGCGCGGCGAGAGCACAGGCCTATGTAAGCACAAACATCCAGGAAGGTACCATTTGTACATAGAGAGGAATAATTTATCTATTTATGGTAGAGAGGGAGGGACGGTGAGAAGGCAGAGAGAGAGAGAGAGAGAGGGGGAGAGAGAAAGGAGCAGGGGCGAGGAATCGCGCACCGTTGCGTTACGTTTGAGTTGTTTTGCATGTGCTTCGGTGTCTCTGTCACACGCGGCCGCGGGAGCCGCGCGGTGAGCTCGTAATGCATTCTATATAAATAAATATACATATAAATATATACATAGCGCAGTTAGAGAGTGATATACCGAGATCGAGATACGACGATGACGTGCGAGGCGTAAATGCCCGGTCTGGGTGATCCCGCGCGCCGGCGGCACGCCCCCGGCTGGAGTCTCGCGTTCTCCAATTGTCATCCCCCAATTAGGCTTGCTTTGAGCAACGGTCTATCCGCGCGCCGCCGTCCCGCGAGAGCCGACGGGTCGCTTTACGGACGGTCGCACGTCCTCGCAGAGTACCTAGGAATATATTCTTAATATGTGAAGAAGATATAAGAATTACACGGTGTCTCGTTGTATTTGTATAATAAGGTGTAAAGAGAGCAAGAGAGAAAAAGAAAGAAAGAAAGAAAAAAAAACGGTGTCATTCTCATGGTCATTGAGCGACTCGTACTTCTTAAGGAAAAAAAAAAAATGATGCTACACGTACAGGGTGCGTTCTAAATTGCGTTAACGCGGCGTCAACTGCGTATCCGTATTTTTTATCTCGACGTGACGAAATTGGAACGATCGGCCCCGTGACTCTGTGATTTCTTTGAAGTAAAAAGGAAGACGACGTCGACAATTTTCGACAGGATCGAAAACCTCGCGATAGCCGGACTGTCTCCGATTAAAACTAGGGGGATTCGTGGGGTCCGTGGATCCGCTTCGGGCTGTCCTCTGTAAATTTTGATACGCGGTCGATGCTCGCGCCTCAGGTGCGTCGATATATTTTAATGTCAAGCCGACAGCACGATAGCCATTGATTTTTCTAGTTCCAGCGTATCGATCCTCGCGGCGGAATTGATAATCGATGTTGGCGCGAGACTAGAGTGAGCGCGGGAGGGCAGCGAGATCGCGGCGATAAGGGTGGAAAAGGTGTCGTGACGTGGGTTTAAATCACGCTGATTATCGACGGCGTTTTTCCGGGGGGGGGGGGGGGGAGACACGATCGCTAGAGAATATCGCGAAGAATCGGGCACAGCGATACGTACGCGGAGGTGAAAAGATGCTTTTGGACGTGTTACTTTTTATGTCGTTCAGCTCGCGGCTGTGATCATTTTAGAAACACCCGTGTACGAACCCGAACCAGCAATCAACTTTGTGATAGTCTGTGTACCGAATCTGCTGAACATCGTTAAATTAATCCCATCTCCTATAGGTAAGGTGTAATAATTATTAGACTCTCATCACGCGCGTACACGCAAAGGACAAAACATATTTACTACGTCATAAAAGTGATAACGAGATTGTGTTGTTCCCTAATTTGTATCATGTAGGCACGTTTAATAATAAATCGAAATATTATCTACCTTGCCCTCGTCATTTCCACCTTCCACGTGGATTTTCCTCGCGACCGACGCCGATCATCGATTCGGCCATTTGGAAAAAAACATGCACGTATACGAACCGCCTTTACTTCCTCTTCTGTGAAAGATTGAAAATATACACGGGGAGAATTTTCCCTTAAAATTTACCCTGAAAATCGTAGAACATAGCATTTTGAAGAACTCTATGAAAGTTTTCAAAAAATTTACCATATACTTTACTAGTGAAAGGTGTAATAAGTATAATCGCTAGTAAACCCACACAGCACGCATGTCTAAGAGACGTCTTAAAGATCGCGAGATGTAATCAGTGCTGACCTGCCATGTGTATGTAAGATCATCCTACGTTTCACATAATTATTTTTAGATTCAGAGAGTTTCATAAATTCCATAAACTCGTTGGATGTACTGGCACGTTCGCTGGCGCGTACGCTGGCACGTCCACGTGCGTCAGTAGAAAAATCTTGATTCCCTTTCGTTTTACGAAAATAGTAGCGCGGCCGTCCGATCTATAATTAAACGTGGCCGCCGCGTTAGCAAATGCCGGTTTGTTCAGTGCGGTAAAGTTAGCGGCCGGTGAACGATGTTCTCGCGACAAGTCTGATTTTCTCATCGGGGGCGAATTAAAAGTAAACGTAATAAAACAATAATAAATATATCATTTTAATCGCGAGTCCGACGTCACACTTCATTTTCCACTGCAGGTACGAAATGCATGGAGCTCGAGGGAAGAACCTCGATGGTGTGAAATGCAAGGCACATTCAATTTCATTCTCTCCGCAGGTGAATCAATTAAATTTAACGATCGGTCCTCAGAGGGTGAGAGCTGGTCAAAGTTTAAATCCAATTTCGTCGATGATCTTGGAAATGACAATTCACTGATGATGGAGAACGTCCCGAGGTATGGTGTGTGCCCGGTGTGCGGGACAAACGCCACGTTGAAGTGCGGCAGCTGCAGACGTGAGTTCTACTGCGACAAATCGCATCAGTCTCAGGACTGGCCGCGTCACAAGTCCACGTGCGGCGGCTGGGAGATCGGTCGCGGCCCTGCGCTCGGACGGCACTTGCTAGCAACCAGGGACTTGGCTCCAGGAGACGTGATCCTCTCGGAGACGCCTCTGGTCTGGGGACCGTCGACCCACGCGAGTCAGCGGGTCTGCGTCGGTTGCGGCGGACGGTGCGACGACGTCGGCGCGAGATGCGGCAGGTGTTGCTGGCCGGTGTGCAGGCCCGATTGCGGGGGCCTGTCCGACAAGAAGAGGCACCAGCTCGAGTGCGCTCTCCTTGCGCGCGCGAGAATTATTCCCAGGTACCTTCGCCCGGCGCAAGTTGGGTAGTAATGAAGTATTCGCTTCGAGACCGAATCAGCGAGATGTCGGGGGAGGAAAAAGTTGGTTCGAGCGCGATCTGAGTCGCGCGCATTCGTATCGCGGAGAGTTAGTTGTCCAAAGATGCCCCTGAAAACGCAGACGCTTTTTATTCACGCTATTTACATTAATTGTTAATTTCGCGCTACGCCCGCGCAGATGCGAGGTGCTTCTGGTGATTCGTATGCTGATACTGTGGCGCACGAAATCGCGCCGTTGGACATCCCTGGCGAAGCTGCAGAGTCACGTGGAGTCGCGAGGACCCGGCACGGAGGCTCACGACGAAGTGTCGAGCGTGAGCCAGCTTCTCGGGCCACTTTTATCGATGGCGTCCGATTGCGGGGACCTTCTGCCGACGATTTGCGGCCTGATCGACGTGAACGCGCTGGAGACCGCGCCGCCGGAGGGCTCGGTGGCGATTTACGAGAACGCGTCTCTTCTGGAGCACTCCTGTGTCGCGAACACGCGACACGACTTTCGCGTCGACGACAAAGGCAGGCCGCGGATTACCGTATACGCGGTCACGTCGATTGAAAAGTACGTATGTATGGAACTTTATGTATCTCTTCTATTAAAAAAATTATTTGTCTACCTTAGACGAGAAGTTGTGCAATTGATAGCAGTTTGGTGAGCGCCAGTCAAGAATTAAGAATTTAAATAAGTGTGGAGACGACCTTGCTGGCAATTCTTTATTGTACCCAAGGAAAAATGAAAAGTCAAGATGATGTCAATTTGATGTCATATTGACCAAATTCATGTCACATTTTGATCAATATGACATCAAACTGACGTCATCTTGACTTTTCATTTTTCCTTGGGATATTATAATAAAATACGACGGTTCGGCCAGTAATACTGGCCCACTTCCGGCAACAAACTTACAAGGGTGCCTACAAATGTCTGAGGAACAAACAAATATGAGCTAAATTTCGGATGCGTTCTTACATAATAGAAAGATTTACGGAGCTATTTGTACAATAAAGCTTACAAGATTCGTCAAGATGGAGATGCAAAAAATTATTAAATTGGAAGTCAGAAGTTTCGTTGTACAATGCGTCTTCACGTCAACGTTAGAAAGCAGAATATTTTTTTTCTTCATTTCACAGATTGCTTGTTCTTTCGTTTCTACACTTATTTAAATTATTATGCATCTCGCGATTGATACTTCCAGAGGGGAACATTTGAGCACCATGTACACGCACGCGCTTTGGGCCACCAGGGCCAGGAGGGAGCATCTCCTTGCCACAAAGTACTTCGCTTGTCGGTGCAAACGTTGCGCCGACCCCACGGAATTGGGCACGCATTTAGGCAGCCTGAATTGCCCCTGCAAAAACGGACTCATGTTGCCGAACGATCCCCTGAATCCGAATACCGACTGGTCCTGCGACGCGTGTCCAGGAACAGTGACGTCCACGGAGGTCGCGCAGTTAACGGATAAACTGGAGGAAGAGGTCGCGGAGGTCATGAAGCAGGCGACCGAGCACACCTTGTTTGATCTTCTCTCGCGGTAGAACCTTTTTGTTCGATCCACGTTGATTTTTTATTTAGACTCTTATTTGACGATAAATAACTAAACAATGTAAAATACTAGAAAGTCGCGGTGCGCATTTTTAGATTTTCCGCACTATTACTCGGGAACTCAACGGGATCGTTCGTTTAGGCTTACAGTGTTGCTGCATCCCGGTCACCAGCACTGCGTATCCGTGAGCCACTCGCTGATGCAGCTGCTACCAGCGACCGATCCGCGGAAGCCGGAATTATGTAAGCGCGTCATGGACACGGTGAATCGATTGGATCCGCACGGCGCTCGTCTGGCGCTTTACACGGCGGTAACCCTGCGAGAGCTCGCGACATGTCCCGGCGAGGATAAGCGAGCCCATCTCGCCAGAGCGGCCTCGTTGCTGAAGGCGGAACCGCCGAATTCGCCCGGTGAAAGGCTCCGCAGACTCGTCCAAGTGGAACTTTGCTCTTAGCTCGTCGTGACAACATTAGCTATATTTTCGTTATTATACAGCTCGATATGTAAAACAGGAGAGGATCCTTTACACTTCTTACTTACAAACGGGAAAGTTATACACGACAGACTCGCGCGAGCAACAATCACTTGCCTGGCTGTCTAAATTTTCGTTTATTCGCTTTTTCGATTTCAAGTGTAATCTCTATTCGCAACTACAGGCAGCCGTAAAAATGGCGAAGGTATTGTACTTATTTAGAGTGAGGGGGAGTACGTATAAAAAAACTTATACCTATATAAAGAATGTGTACATACATGTTATATCAAAATATGCGTTGACATACGCTAGTCGTCGTTCCGCATTCACCGCGCACGCCGTGTATGTATGTGTGTGTGTGTGTACTCGTACGGTTGTACGTCGTAAAATCTAGACTAGATGACTGTGCCCCTGCGACTAAACGTAATCCTCAAATCCGGAAGCGTAACTCCTCGTCGTGCTTTTATTATTTTCGCATCCTTCTGCGCTCAGTATTCTCGCGAGTGGTCGACAAGTAAACTTGCTAGCGGGATAAAACAGTTGACACGCGAGGACAAACAAGAAAGATGTATCGAAGAAAATACAGTAGATGATGACTGTGTTTGCCATACCCGAATAAAATTTTACAAGAGCGAAAATTTATATAAAATATTAACATCCGTTTACACGCTGACCTACTCCGAGAGATTTCCGAAACTCACGTCATTGTCAAGATAAACGATTCGCACGCCCGGTCCTGGAAATCTCGTGGACGTTTCTCGTACACGTTACTTGATGAGAAGACAGATGGGTCTAGAAGTCACCAACGATGCTCCTGTAGACTATCGTCGCGTCGGTCTTACAGTTCGCTTAACAGGAATCATACGGATTACGTTACGCAGGACCGTCGTGTGCGCACACCCAGCAGCGGGTAGGACAAGGACTGGCCCTTGAGCTGCGCCGTGATCTGCAGGAGGTAAGCCTTGCCGGGCTGCAGCCTCCTGAGGGTAAACGGCAGCGCCCGGTCGTTCGGCGGGTTGCGCTTCTCCTCGCATACCTCGAACATGTACTCGGACCGTCTGCGCCGATGGAGCCCGCACTGATCCGGCACGGTCGTGACACTCGCCAAGGACGACGAACTCCGCAGCTCCTTCACCAGGATGCAGTACTTGGTGGCGCCGGCCGGCTCCACGCCTATTGTCACTTCGTGGCACGTCCTGAGGGATCGGTACTCCCGCGGCGGGTTCTTGGACGGTATCTGAGGCAAAAAATTCGTTCTTCCAACGGACAAGGCTCTGGTTAATCGAAATTTATTGTTGACAACGAGGGAGCCGATCGATGATGATTTTATACTATGGGTACTAAAGTCCGAAATTCTCACGACGGCGAGATACAGTTATAGACGAGTTTATCTCCGTCTTTAATACGTATATGTATTTATTCCTGTACTGCAAAGTGCACGGAGAGAATTTTTTCTTAAAAATTATCCTGAAAATCGTGTAATCGTGGGACAACATGGCGTTTCGAAGAACTGTATGAGAGTTTTTGTTATTAAATTGTATATTAACAATAAGTATAATTACAAGTAGAATGTATGGTAAAATTTCAAAAAACTCTCATGCAATTCTACGAAACGCCATGTTGTCCCACGATTACACGATTTCCAGGATAACTTTTCAGAAAAAATTCTCGCCGTGCATACCGTACGTTGTACCACTCACACAGCACAGAAATATTGCAGGAAGATTGCAGAAATGTTACATTGCAAGATTGCAATATTGCAGCAACGTTGCGCAACATTGCTGCAACCTTTCTGGAGGATTGCGGCAACGTTGAAATGTCCGCCCTCAGAGAGATTGCAGTGCAACATTATAGCAATGTTGCAGTGCAATATTTTTGGAATAATTTCTTGTTGTTGTACATAAGCAGAGAATTTACTAATTACATATGAATCCGGGCCTTTTTCAATACACAGCAAGCTATTGCGAAGCAACCTAAGGAGATTATGTCGCTTCGCAATAGATGGAGATTGCGAGCAACACCGCACTGATCAAGTACTTAATAATTCGCGCATTATTGGTATCAACGAAAATAACATTATAAAATTCTCGTAATTAGAAAAATTGTTTAAATAAAAAATATAGTATTTTTATTATTTTTGAAACATTGCTGCAATATTGCTATCGAAACTTTGCAATTTTATATCCCTGCACCGTCTCTGCAAGATTGCAACGTTTCTGCAATGTAACTGCAACCATCTGTGCTGTATGGGTAGTAATTATACTTACTGTTAGTATACATTTTACTGGTAGAATGTATGGTAAAATTTCAAAAAATTGTCGTACAATTCTTCAAAGTGCCATATTGTCCCACGATTACCTGACTTTCAGGGTAAATTTTACGAGAAAATTCTCTCTCCGTGTGCCGGAAGAGATAATAGAGCCTAATCGCGGAATCTCTCGCGGTCGTTGTAGGAAGAAGACATTAGTCTGCAGAGTCCGACATACTTGCGGATAAATGGTGGACGACTCCTGCGTAGCCAGCACTTTTATGGTGGACACTCGAACCAGCTCCTGCGGTGTGGTCGATATACGCAGGGTGTACGTCTTACCGGGGGGTAGAGGAGGTACGCGCAACGAGGCGTATCCGACCACCTCTTTTTCCTGCCGATCACACGGGACACGTTTACATGCTTCTATGTGTATCGACGCTGTTGCGAAAGCGTCCGGATCAATGCAAGATGGCCAGGTCGTGTTCGATAGCGTCAATTGTTAAAGACTCTTTCGCAAATTTACGGTCGACACGCCCGCGTCATAAATACTCCATGTTTTACCCGTAGTATTCCCTGTCCGCTTAATTTCGCCTTCACGATGCCTCCACCGCAAGGAAGTATGTGAAAGGTGCTCGAGGTGTTGTCGGGCGGACGATAACGGAAATTGACGAAACCGTCGGTCTTCCGCAGATTGGCCGTGGTGTAACGATCGGTATGCAACGTCAGCTCCGGCGTCTTCTTGAACCTGATAGAGTCGGTGGCGACCCGATTAGAGACGTTGTTCCGAGTGTTCACCTGTTGAATCAGCGCGTCATTTCGATACTTAAACAACAAGTAAGTTCAGGAAGAAGCGTTCAACACAGCTCTAAGTTCGCCAAGGATAGAAATAAACGTGAGAGAGTCGCGGAAATTAATAATCCTTACGCCCAGTTATGAGACGAGTGTATGCTAATTCTCGCGTGAAGATGAGTGAAAGTTAAACGGAAGAGCGTCTGTCGCCTTCTTTGCAAACTGAGCGTATGGTTCGTGCGGTTTTATAAGCGAGATCGATTCGGTTGACGAGCGCGACGAGGGACCGACCACGTAAAGGGTAAAGTTGTACGTAGTGTCGTATCTCATCCTATGAAGCGTCAGCTTGGTCTGCCGCACGCAGTGCAGACCTTCCGGAACGCCCCGATGATAATGTTCCTTCGGGGAAGTGCCGGTTCTCGCCGACGAGTGCGGATAAGCTTTCAGAACGTCCTGCGCGGCGCAGAGCGTCGACGGATGCGGCTGCGTACCCGAGGTGACAGCTAAGCAGTAGTTGGAGAGGTGCGGATCCACATGGCTGGAAAAACAAACGTGCCATCTTGAAATTGCGGCTCCAACGAAATCGATATAGACGCATCAACGCGCGGGCCTCGTGTTACGATTGCGCGCAATAATAGACCACGGAAGGAAGAGAATTATCGCAATATCGCGCAATAAGAGTCCACAGTGACGAACGTGATGAGACTAGATTTATAGATCTAAGAATGGATCTCGTTCCCGATAATTCCATTTATGTCGCTTGCATGGAAATTTCCGTCCCCTTGGCAATAAATCGCGTCAATTCGTTCATGCTAATCCTGCAGCTACTCATGAGATGTTTAGCAAACCTTGCACCACCTTATTCAAGCATACACGAGAGACACTTGATTCCAAACATGTGTAGAAGCAGTTTACTTAATAAAAGGAAAAAAACCAACGTTTTCTGTGCTTTATTAAATGCACAGTGTCATTTCAAGGGCCGGTTTCTCCAACCTCCGATAAATGATCTTTTAAGAAAAAAATTTTCTCCGTCTAGGTAAATCTTATATATTTGTCTTTGTTTCTCCATCAAATTAGACGAAGATAGATGTATAATTGAACTATTAGTTAGCCTACCAAGAAGTTGGAACAATCGGCCCTAAATCTTCTAGGTCGTCTGTAGGCGCAGTGGCGACTGCTTTTCCTACTGAATTATCCAAGCCCTCGATACTCCTTTCGCACACCATTCTACTTCATCGAATAAAGTAGGAATAATATATTAGCAGCGCGACTTCAGAGCGATGTCTATATCACTCGATGGTTTAGCAGACCGTCATATGAATGCAAAGCTGCTACACCCCTCTAGACTCAAATTGAGTAAACTTTGACACGGCGAATTTAACATCCCGTATTTGGAACAACAAAACGAATGCAAGACGCGGTAGAAACGCAGTGGTACCTCTTGCCCCAGGATATCGTCAGCCGCCGTTTGCTTCGTCGCTGTTGAAATCTCAGCGTCCGGTGCCGATGCTCCTTTCCGTTCGCATATATACTCGATACGTGGTCCAGAGCGCTGGAGGTCGCGTACAGAAGCACCGTGCCGGGCGGCCGTTCCGCAGGCTCCATAGACTTGATCTCGAACCAGTAAAGCCCGGCCCGTGTCTTTGGTATCGTGAAATTTTGGTCCTCCGCGCCCACGTACGTGAAGAGAGGAGACCCCGGCTTTAAGGTCTTCACAGGCCATCGCGTTTGCGCTACACGTCGTAAATTGATTCGGAAATCATTCGAGCGATTTGACAACTCGTGGGATACCTCGATTACCCGAAATGACGCCAAATATTCTTTTTTTTTTAAGTATGTCGCACTTCTTTTTCACGGACGCGCCTCCTAATCATCAATTCTCAAGTTATGTGCATTAATTTTCAACAATTTAGCTTTGAGGTCTTCACAGGCCATTACGTTTGCGCTACACGTAAATTGATTCGGAAATTATTCGAGCGATTTGACAACTCGTGGGATACCCCGATTATCTGAAGTGACGCCAAATATTAATATCATTTTAAAATGTGTCACATTTCTCCTTCTCGGACGCGCCTCCTAATCATCAATTCTTAAGTTACGTGCATGAATTTCAACAATTTAACACCGAGACAGTTATAAAGCATATTGTAAATACAGCAGAAATATATGGAAAACACAAAACGAAGAAAAGATTCGAGTATGACTGCGATCCACTCAATGCTACAAATGATTCTTTTTTTTAAAATAAACTCTCTAAAAGTCAATCAGTGGATCATCACTGAAAACAGTCATTAACTTCCCAAGTGCACTACTGAAATTCGCAGTGGTATACTTATAACTGTAAATCAGTGACTATTCACTGTTTTCAGTGAAAACCCACTGATTGATTTTTAAAGAGAGGAAAAGAAGAATGCCTCGAAGCATCTGCATCACGTAGACCGCATACCGTATATCGACATAAGTGTAAATAAATAGCACTTTTTAAATAATCGCGTAGAATTTTTGAATTGCTCGCGTTGGCAAGGGAGTAAAGCCTTGCTTCGTTCCACCTTTCGGTTGTTCACAGCTAAAAGAATTTCAGACACACTTCGTACCTTCTGCTTCCTGATGGTTTTCGGGCGGCTCTACGTAGCTGACCGTCCAGGATATCGGACCGCTACACGGGCTAACGAGTAACGTGAGAGGCGGGCCTTCCCGTGGGCTCAGGTAATAGAACCTGTAAGAATTTCATCTGCATCCAGTTTGATATTGATGTTCGCGGCACGTCGCACGTACACAAACGAACGAAAATGCGAGTGTGCGAATGGGGTGCGACGCGACGCGATCTTCTACATCGCCGAAAGATTCGATTTCAAGTAATATCCTCATTGACCGCACACTGTTGAAAAATTTCATGTAAAATTACAATTATTATTACACTGGGACTGTCCATTAAAGGTGTATAATTACAATACGCGCGTCAGTAAATTTGTATCTCGCGAAGAAATTATTACCTTACATAAGTAAGCAGCTTGCTGTTAATTTTGTAACTTTGGTAATTTTTCACAAGTGTGTCCGTCAACTATAAACAATTGTCTGATTTTAAGAGATAAGAAAAGTAATTTCTGTAAAAGTACATTTCTATTATTAATAGCGTAACTGTCACACTCATTATCCATGTGACTTGACGTACTTCCTCTGTACGAAGAAGACGTAACACATCCTCCCGATATCGACAATAATTTCGCACAGTTTTCGACGGTACCTTTGACGCACCGCCGGGCACAACGTGTCGCAAAAATCATCGCCGACCTGTCGACCTAGCTCGGCGCGAGCATCGCTTCGCAAGCCCCTCGTTATCATAATCGCGGAACGTTAATCCGAGATGGAGAACGCGCCGCGCGGCGCGGCGGATGTTGTGTATCGTAATTGAAATAATTACCCGGTAGTTGCCGCGATCTCGTAGTCACGCAATATACGCGCGTACACGCGCTTTCGCACGCACACACGTACACCACTGAATTCCACCGTCGTTATATTTAGTCACAATGTTGATCGGGGTTCGATACAATTCCTTTTTTCCCTCCCGCCCCTCCCCTCGCCCCTCCCACCGCCCCGTCCCTCTCGCCTCTCTCTCTCTCACTTCCTTTCTTTCCTCTTTTCAAAAATTACACCGGTTAACTTTACGCCCCGACGATGCTGCTCATCCGCCCCCGCTCTTCTTCCTTGCCCTTCCTCATGCCGTTGGGGGTACTCTTTTTTCCTCTATTTTGCGTCAAAGTCTGCAACTCGGCGCGCAGCTCAACCCGTTAGCTTCCGAGCGTCACCCGGTCGCCACCGCCGCCGCCGCCGCCGCCGCCGCCGTCGTCGTCGTCGTCGTCGTTTGCGAGAAACGTCGAGACGCCGCCGTCGCTGCAGCCGCCACACGTGCTCCTCTCGTTCGCGTCTGGCGCTGAGACAGCTATTGTAAAATTAGCGTCGGGGCACAATGCCGGCGTCGCGGCGTCTGGGGTCGCGCAGCCACGACCCCCGTGGTCTAAATCCGGCATCCGTGAAGTCATCCTGAACACGAAGCGGAGAAAGAGAGAAAGAGGGAGGGAAAGGAGCAGCAGGGGGAGAGACGAGGAGAGCCCCGAATTGATTCTGTTAGACGGTCTGTTCTCTCCCTCTCTTTTGTCGCGAGTCTGCCGCAGGTTTCGTGGAAAGTCGCGACCGAGATAGGTGGGGCGCTTTTACGCGGCGCGTGGCATCACTCGTCCTCTTCATCCTGGCGCGCGAGGGGAGCGACCCTGCGGAAGGTGCGACTGGACGCGCGCGCGAACGACGGTGACGTCGATACGGACGGCGGAGTCAAAGGGGTGGTTTTGGATTACGTTTTAATTTTCCGGTTATTAAGTCACGTTGTTAAGTAAATCTCCAAATGCGGAGTGACAGACAATCCTGTCAGTGTCGAGGCACGAATGACTTGCTCCGATTACAAGCGATTGGAGAACAAAGATCGAAAGAGACCAGAGAGAGGGGCTTGAAATATTTTTTCTAAACTTCACATTTTCAAAAATCATCTGGCGATACTTGCACGCGGAAGAGAAGAAAGACTGACGCCGAGATTTCCACTTCCGACAGACGGAAGTCAAAGGTATATCATTTAGGGCCAGTTTCACAAACGTCGGTAAACTGTTAACCAGAGTTCAGTCAACTCCCTATCTTTTTCTATCTTATTACCCAAGAAGAGACAGAGAATCAACGAGCCTTCGGTTAGCAGTTAACCAACGTTTGTGAAACTCGCCCTTAACAATAGAACTCGGGGCACGTGAGATCAGCGACGTGAAAAGTGTCGTGGCCAACGCGTAGCATCCGCGGCACGAGGAAGTACGATCATTCAGTCAATGATTATCGCGCGCGAAATTCAACGGATATAACAGACGTAACTCCACTGTATCATCGGGGGGGAAAAGTATCCATTGTGCGAACACTCGCCGAGCGAGCGTAGTTCACTGAACGTTATGAAATTTTACGATTTTTTCGAAGCGGGACGCGCGAGCGTTCATTGCCCACTTTAAACCTCTCGGCTCGAGAGTGACGTTGCAGGACATTTACCGCGACATTCCGCGAAATGTGATGGCGCAAATCTTTGACTTTGCGCGAGCGTCATTCGAGGCTCTTCGGCGAGTGCGAACGTACCAAATCGAATCGAAAATACCGTGCCCATTGTTTTTATACTACGTTTTTACAGTCGACCGTTTACAAGGATTTTTCTTGTAAGTCAGGTATATAAATATCCGCGCGCGGGAGAGAGAGAGAGAGAGAGAGGCGTGTAATTCTGTACTTCGACTTCAGTCAGAGTTTCGCGGAAACCATCCGATAGAAGGACTTTATGACGCGTGGCGTCGCGACGGATCGGACCATTAGACCGGGTGAACATTGTGAAGGCGTAAAGGAGCACGAGGATAATAACGGAGCGACCAAATTTTATCGTCCGTCTCCATGATGCGCGTGCAACAGTCGGCGGCGCGCAGTCTCCGTTTCCTCTTATCTACGGGAAACTTGAAGCGACTACCTGGCAACATAAGCAAATAGCGTAGCATGCCTCCTTTGACGGGATTATAAGCGCGTATAATAAATTAAAACGAGCGAAAGTGAAGTCATCAAGCGAGTCTAACGAGTTACTCGCCCCGTTATCCCTCAATCTCCGCGTCTGTTTCATTCATCGATTAATTAATGCAGCTATCGCCAGGACTCCGTCGTTCAGCAGCCGCGAATTCACCGTGGAAGACAGCTGTAAATTTATAACACGTAGAGAAAAAGAAAGGGTTTCGCTACAAATTACTTTCGGCACAAGTGGCAACCGGCAGTGCGATCTTTACGACGCAACCGGCCTTCGTCTGTTCCTCCCGCGTGCGTCGACATAATCATCTCGCTGTACTCGAGTGATGAACGACAGTTGCGTCGGTTGCGAGCCAACCGATATGGATCGAATCGACTCGTGCGTATGCAAAATGTGCGCCGAATTGCGTGCACACGAGCGTTCTCGCTCGCGGTTGACGGAACGCGGTGCGTGACGTTGCTGTAAACGTTCGCGGTGCAGCCGTGCAGCGTATCGAGCAAACAATTTACACACGCAAAAATAGTTGCTTAAATATTTCCCGCCCATTAGAGGCGCGCGCACACGTGTGGCTCGCACGGCTAAGATTGCGCGCGCTAATTTTGCAATATAAAAATTTGTCCAGCAGTGACATAATTAGCTGCGATAGATCTTGCGAACGCGCAATCGTCGCGGGAGAGAAATGGTTTAAGAGGTTCTTCATTTTAAGTGTCGATCACCTCTGATCGCCGATTGATAGCGTCCTAATTAAATCAGAATTAGTTACAAATAATGTTACACGAATGAAATAAATCGGAAAAGTACTCCGAAACTCAGAACAATTCTTCAATAAAAGTGGAGAAAGTTTCAACAATTGAAATCAAATCTATCACATTTAAACAATATTCCATACAAGAATAAGCGGAGTGCCGATAGAGAGAATTTTGAATCAAACCCGGCAAAAACTGTTCATGCACGAACACGAATAAATATTATAAAATATGTCCATACATATTTTTACATTGTATATTTCTACCTAATTTTATACAATTCTACACAGTTCTGTATAATTTCATAGATTTGCGCACGCTTCTATATGAAAAATTTTGTAATGTGAAACATTGCTTATTTACAATTATATATAATTGTGTACAATTATACAAAGTTATATAATTTTAAATGAGCAATTTTTTCCCCTTTTCAAATGTTTCATATAAAAGCACGTATAAATCTATAAAACTATATAGAACCGTGTAGAATTGTATAGAATTACATAGAAACATACAATGTAAAAATATGTATGGACATATTTGATCTATAATTTTGTATAATATATCGATGCATGCTCATGCATGAAAAAATATTTTACCGGGAAAGAGAGAAAGTTAACTGAACGAGTCGTTTATAGCAATGTCGAAAATTTCATCGAGAAATCAATTCGGAGCTAGAGTGTCTTTCCGCAATTTCGGCAAACTTGGTCCTTCCGAAAAACACAAGAGTTCTCCCAGACTCCTGACGGAGTTCGCGTCTCATTCAAACGCACGAGCGGACTATTCTTGCGGACATAATTGTGACAGTGCGGTGTCATAATTATCCGGGCTAAACGCACTTGGTATCTCTTCTCGGATAATTAAACGGCGTCGAACGAGAAAACGGCACCGCGGCCAATGCAACGGTATAGTGCGGTGTCGGGCTTTCTCGTTGCCGCGAAATCAAAGTCTCCCGTCAGACGACGTCGCGGGGAAAAAAAGAGTCGCCCCGCGACAATGGCGTAACGACAGGTGATTGAATACTCACTGAGACACGTTGCCGGGTCTGATGGTCGCCGGTATCTGGTACTCGGGATGCAGCACGCCGGTCCGGTTGAACTCCTGGACGCGGGTCGGCCGGTCGGCGCCGAACGGTCTCGGGCTGCCGATGGTCCGGTAGAATTGCTGCTGCTGTTGCTGCAGCTGCGGCTGCTGCGTGCGTTGCTGCAACTGCTGCAGCTGCTGCCTGACGCAAAACGGGCAACCGGCGCAACTGCGTGCGATCGACGCGAGTATCATCAGGACGCCGATCGTGATGCACGACATGATGACCGCGCCAAGAGACGGTCCCCGGTCTCTCGTGGATAATGACGACGGCGACGGCGACGTCCGTCGTTCAGTGGCGAAGGAGTTCGACTGTGTGCCGAACGAGCGAGCGAACCGCCGTCGCCACCACCGCCACCACCACCACCGCCGCCGCCGCCGCCGCCGCCGCCGTCTAAGAAACCACGCCGGCGGCCGACGAGACGAAGTAACCCCTCTCGATTCATTCCTAATCGGACAACTCCCGCGTTCGCCCTGTGTTCCGGGGGGTCAATTCTGTCAACCTTGCAACATGGTGAAAATGCTAAAAGTCAGCGGCTTTGTCTTTCCAAGGGGACAGTTAGAAGGAGACGAAGCCGCTCTTAGCATTTTCACTGTAGTGTAAGATACGGAGTTGACCCTCTGATAGAGGCCCTGCTTCTCCCCTTCGCTTTTTATCCTGCTTGAATCTGTTAGACCTGGTCTACAATGAGTCGTTAGTCGTCAGTCAGAAGTTTCTTCCTTTCTGGGTGGAAGAAAAAGGATCGACATACAGTTCCGACTTCTGACTAACGACTAACAGCTCATTGTAGACCGGGCTTTACCCTTTCGCTTACGTGCCCGTTCACTCGATCCGCAACTTTGCGAGAAACGTTAATGAAGACGATGCGTCGTCCACCGTTGTTACGCGCAGCGTCTATCGGCCATCCGCGCGAATCGAACGAATTCATCTCTTTCATTTCCTGTTCTTGATTACTGAATTTGTTATTCATACTCGAGTTAAATTATTTGACCGAATTCTGAATCTCTCGAAATATTTTTTTTATTATCACTAGGCATATTTTTGAACTGTTTCCAAATGCAACTATGTGTACACGTACGTTTCCCGTGGACGCGACGATTTCAAACTTTAAGAGCAAATGTTCCCTTCCAGCTTCTCAGTTCGATTTCTTTTCACGTTTGTCTCTTAATCTTCGCGAATGCATTACTTCTCCGGGAGAATCTTTCCGCTTTTCCAATCTGATCTCCTTTCCACGGCTTTGACTTTTAATCTTCATGAATACTTCCCCGGGAGAATAAGATTGATCGTAAACCTCGGGAGTAGCGCCGCGATAACGATATCCAGATCGAGCTTGCGAAATTCGCACCTCCCACCCACCCATCGGGCAACGTCTTCCCCGATGAGAAAGAAGGTGATTGTCGGCTTCTCGTACGGCGGTGGGTATCGGCTGGTTAAGGTAAAACAAGGTGGACGGACTAGGGGGGGGAGCTGGGCGAGAGGCTTGGCGGAACGGCCTTCCTGTATCAACGGGGCGCGAGGAAAGAAGGAGCCGATATGACGCGAGGAGATCGTGCATAGAGGGAAGTTATATACGGCACGGCGCGCTGTATCATGGACCAACCATGGGACGATGATGACAGCAGGTCTGGCGAGTGGCAGGCCAATAAATCATGGCCTGCGGTGTGGGAACCTCTGCCTACATGCTACGTGCGTATGGGCGTACGCCATCGGTAAAGCCTTTACTCCCGTGCGGGGTAGAGCCCGATCGCGATGCGCCAGGCTGCACGCCGGTGTGGCGACCTGGCGCTGCATATATACACGTATACCGCGCGACGTATCGCACGCACGCACGCACACGTGCGCGCCCACCACGTGTTCTCGGCCTCGCGCGCCGCGCACCGCGATCGCATACGCGCGTACACGTTTGTGTTCGTGCCGGGGCATCGTTATGCACACATCGTGTTATATTGTTGCGCCGTGGAAGCCAATTCGCCGCGATGAGTGACGGTCCGACTTCATGAAGTTGGGCCTTTTTTGGCAGTCATTTTTGCGGGCCCGGGCCCCGAGTCCGGACGCCGCGCCGCTGCGGCGGCGAAAAGGCGTGCAACGATAGCCGTTTCGTACTCAAACGGTTTGCTGCCAAAAACGGCATTGCTTATCGACTCCGGAATGATAGTGAGAGGAGAGATCCCTCCTTCGTTTCTCGCAAGGCCGAGGGTTAATTGACGGTCGGCGCTCGTTATCCCGAGTTAACGAAATATTGTCTTCATAAATGCTGATATTGATTACCGTTAGTTCTCCGAAATACGACGCTAGCTTGCAACATATTATATTGTCACATTGTGTTTAATAGTAACGATCACAGTCTTTATCCGAATCCTCCATTCTTTTTATACTTGAGATGGTTTATTCCTATTTCAATGTACTTTTTGTCACCTCATGTAAATTCAATACTAATCACTTTATGTAAATAATAAAAATCTAATAAGCTAATTGACAAGATGAACCTCTGAAATATTCCAAAGCGAGATTATTCGAATTTTACCAACAAACTGATAATCTGACTCGTAAATCTCGATCGGTTTCAGCACTGTTTTAAAAGTCTCTAAGATCACGTACCTTGACGTTGATTTCTATGCGCCCGGCAACCTACGATTTTTGTATACCGTTGTCGACTTGGACGAAAGGGAGGCAATTGGACGCTCGTAAAGGGCCCAGATAAAGTCTGCGAAACTGGCGCCCGTATTCATCGACCGAGTTCTCTCGGCCTTTGCGAGAAAGAGGGGGCGGGGCCCTCGCATAAATTTCCATTCAATGCGCGGCCCTACGCTGGCCCGCTAGTCGATTCAGCGTCAAATAAAAAATACGTTTACGAGCAAAAATGTCGGGCATTATGCCGAAAATACGGTTCTTGTGGACATTATTGTTAAGTTCCTCAAAGAGAATGTGTAATACCAAATTATATCATATTTTTCTAACACGCAAGTTTGACAAATTCCTTCTCGCGATAATAATGTTGCTCTTCGGTCCATTAACATTACGAGTTGTATGTTGATATTACATATAAAACTAACTGAATAATCGTATAGTAAGCACTCGCTCATAAAATTGTGAAATTAATTTCCCTTAAACTTTATACCGCAATAAATTTGCGGAATAAAAATTTAAGAGAATTACTCGCACCTTATATACTTGCCGTAATCAGCGAAACTGAAACGAGCGCCAATTTTTCAATACGTAGCCACAGAAAATCAAAGACTATCGCGCAGGTCAGAAAACAGTGAAATGCGAGACTTCTAACCGCAAAACGAAGAACAAAGATCGCCGTGGCTAATGCTGTCGTGCGAAATTTCTAAATTTAACACCGTCCGAAACATCTCGCGCGTGTATTTCCCAAAGCGAAAGTGGACTAATCGATCGAATTTAATGCAATATAATAGTTTCTCGTTAAAAGAAGAATTGAATAAACATAATTACATGCGTGAGAAAACGAATCAAGATACTCCGTCAGGATACACATTGCTAACGCTTTTTTATCGCGTATAAAAGTTTCATATATTTGCTCACTCGTATATTTTATATATGTATACATTTTACTTGGTCCAACAAATTCGCACAGTGAGCAACCATGTTGTTTAATCGACCATTGCTTCTGCATTCATAAAATATATTCACAAAATATATTAACGCGTGTATCAATACGCTTTGTAAAATACACAATTAAAATTTCGCTATATCCACTTTTATGTGTAACTTGACGATATAAACGTCACACGTTAATAATATTGTATTGAAAAATGTATTCTCTATCATTTACGAGTGTTTCATTCTCGTATTTCACCGGCGCTTTCGAATAAAGAGGTCGAAAATGCGTTTACCAGGAGTAACTTATACAAAGAATTTTCCCCTCACTTCGAGGCTCGTGTGTATTATTCGCTTCATCGCTCGATTGGAAGAGCCTCGAATGTCGGCTTCGATGATCCACCTGTTTATCGAGCCTAACTTGCTCGAATAGTTCGCTCCCCTCCTTGGTTCCCCTTCCTCCCCCTGCTCTCTGCAGCGTGAAGACCTACCCCGCTTTAGGTGTTCCCTACCTCGTAATACTGACTCTGACAGAGGATTCGCCGACATCTTTCAAGTGTTATACGTGTTCAAGGGTGTCGAGTGTCGCAATGACACCCTTAGATCTCATTTAGAATACGGTTGTATACGTACGCGCGCAGCGAACACGTTCGAGAATTTAGACAATGGAATGAAATTCTCGCGGTCGAAATAAGGAACGAAACACGTACTAAATTGCAAACTTCTGCGCGACTTTAAATATGTACGAGGTGTGACGAGATGTTACGCCGTGCTTCAAAGGGTCAGTGTACACGTAAGAAAAAAGCAAACGAGACCAAACGAACGATTCTTTTTTTTTTCTAATTCTATCAAACGAACCATGCGTTTAACTCTGTTCACTTCATTAGCAAGTTAATCGAACATTTATACAGTACACATACTTTTGGAAATTCAATCTCGACGCTTATTATATATTCCAAGTACAAATTCAAGTTTTTCCGTCCAACTGCCGATTCTCTTTCGATAAACGTTTCTGCAATACGTACTTGTTTTACGCTTTTTGTTAATTACCGTGCGCACTGAACTGTTAAGAGCAACGCCTGCGTTATGCACCGTGATAATTGTTGTTTTTGTTCGAGACAGTGATTCCAGTCAGCCTTTTAGAAAACGGTTCTCAGAGGACAGTTCACAACATATAAATACATACATATATAAGTGCCTCTCTCTAACTCATCTGCCCACCTAAGAATAACATTCGAAACATGTTTTTTTTTCTGCAATCCGGGAGCATAATTGGAAAAGCAGCGAGCGCGAGCGTGGACTTTTCGAGCGGAAGAAATCACTAGTGAATTCATTAATACATTTTGTCTCGCGGCGGGGGAGCAAAAACACTCCCGCGCGACGAATTTGCGTGTGGGCGACTTGGTGCGCTCTTCCCGGCCGTGTGGAAGCGTCTTAAAAATTCGCGACGGATACCACGCGCGCATATTATTCCAGTGATTAAACATTCGATTTAAACCTCGCGCGTCCTGGGACACATCCTCTGAGAGCGGCGGCCTCGAACGCAACGCGTGCGCGCGATGTGCGCCGCGGTTAATAATTTCTCCGTCTTGCGACTGATTTCACTTAACCTGTAGTGGGCCGGCACTTTTCCATTGAAATTTGTAATTTTTTAAACAGAAAATTTATGCATACTAGAGATGACAAAACGCGCGCTTCGCGCGCGCGCAGTTTGTAGTCGGGCAGTGTACATTTTTAAGAATTTCT